ACTTCACAGCGAACTGGCTCGCATAAGATTTAAGTTTTTCTAATCAAACTGTGAGAACTATTAAGCTTGGAATTATTTCAAAGTTTTTCATAGAATAAATGCTGGCTATTAAAATTATGCTTTGGAACATTTTAGAATGAACTGCTTCACGAAAAACTAATGTTTTTCATAAGCAAGCTATTCAAGCTATACACCTTTGAAACCATCTACAGTGAATCGGATAGCGAAAAAATAAAATTTATTTTGAAGCCACTAAAAACCAAGAAAACATTGGTTTTTTGATATTAGTTTATCAACTTAACTGGATAGGAACTATTTCAAGTTACTCTACTGGAGCCAATCACGCGATGAAATTTTTAATATTTCAAGATATTTGACACATCAAAGTGATTAGCAAAAAAAAACAAGTTTTGGTATGCTAGCTATTTGGCCTAAGTTTTGATACGCGTCAACTTATCTCCTAGACTAAATCGGTTCACGAAAAGCTTATGTTTTTCTTGAGCATGCTATTCAAGTTATGAAGTTTGAATTATTTGAAGTTATTTTATGGACCGAATCAGTTCGCGAAATATTCAAGTTTTTCTAAGCAAGCATTTCAAGTCAGGAAACTTAGAATTATTTCATATAGATATTGGATCAAATCTTTTGCAAAAAAAGCTTTACATGCTACTCAAGCAAAGAAACATTTTTTAAATTTCAGATCGTTGCATGAAGCCAATCTGTTGGCAACAAAATTAAGTAATTCTAAGCAAGCTAGGTAAGTTATCAAACTTCAAAATAATTCAAGTTATTTCACGAAGTTGAAATAGAAAAAAGAGCTAGCAAAAAAGATAGCAAGCTTACAGTCTTCTAAGCAGGCTATTCAAGCTATGTGACTTAGAATTTTCCAAAATATTTAGTTGATCGATTCGGTTCGCAAAAAAAATGACTTGAATTTTTTAAACGTTTTTTGAGCACGCGATTCATGCGATGAAACTTATGAAATTTTCAAATTTTTTCAAGGGGCAAATCGGTTTGCTAAAAACTTAAGTTTTTCTAAGCAAGCTTTTGAGGCAACGAAAATTTGAATTATCTCAAGTTTTCACAGAGCATATCGATTGGCGAAAAGTTGATGTTTTTCTAAGCAAGCTATGCAAGCTATGTGACTTAGAGTTTTCCAAAATATTTGGTTGATCGAATTGGTTCGCAAAAAAATAACTTTTTCTTAGAAAGCTTTTTTAGGTAAGAAATTCAAAACAATTCAAGTTATTTTGTATTCCGAATCAGTTTGCGAAAAGCTTAAAATGTTCTAAGCAAGCTTTTGAAGCTATAAAACTTCTAATTATTTCAAATGAATTCATCCACTGAATGGGTTCATAGACTGAAAGTTGAAATTTTTCTAATCAAGTTTTTAAAGCTATGAATTTTAGATTTATTTCAAGTTTTTCATAAAGCTAATCAGTTTACGCAAAGCTTTATTTTTTTCTACGCAAGCTAGTCAAGTTATAAAACTTTGAAAAACTTCAGTTATTTTGTTGATCAAATCGGTTCACGAAAACGTGAGTTTTTCTTTGCAACCTTTTAGAGTTATGAAACTTTGAACTATTTCAAGTTAATTTATACACTGAATCGGTTCAGGAAAAGTTAAAATTCTTTAAGCAAGCTTTCAAAGCTACGAAATTTGGAATTATTTCAGGTTGTTCCATAGACCGAATCGTTTTGCGAAAAGCTTAACTTCATCTAAGCGAGCTATTAAAGCTTTGAAAACTTAAAATATTTAAAGTTATTTTGCAAAAAACTTGCTTAAAAAATGTTTGCGAAAGCTTTGCTTTAAAAACTTAAGCTTTTCGCAAAACGATTCAGTCTATGAGATAACTTGAATTTTTTAACGTTTTTTTTGAGCACGCGATTCATGTGATGAAACTTATGAAATTTTCAAATTATTTCAAGGGGCAAATCGGTTCGCGAAAAACTTAAGTTTTTCTAAGCAAGCTATTGTGGCAATGAACATTTGAATTATCTCAAGTTTTCACAGAGCAAATCGATTGGCGAAAAGTTGATGTTTTTCTAAGCGAGCTATGCAAGCGATGAAACTTTGAAAAATTTCAAAACAATTCATAGTGCAAATCGGTTTGAAAACAGCTAGTTTTTCTAGCAAGGAGTTTGCTGTTTTTAGTTGGTTCGTTTCAGAAAAAAATCAAGCTAAGAACGCAAATTTCGGGAAAAAATGGACAGTCACTGTCTAGCCTTGAAACTGCATTGAGTTCATCTTGTCTACAGAATTGAATTTTTGTCACAAACAATTCTAGAATAATCCAGACTTAAGAAAATTTGAAAGTTCTAGACCATTCTTGGCCTTCTCTTAAACGTTAAGCCTTAAAAATTTTTTAAACGTTGCATTCGACAAATCTAAAACATTGCGTTCAGTTAAACATTGCGTCCATAGCTCATTCGGAGTTACATTTAATATATAAGATTGTTCAGCTGCGCTAATGAAAGTTGTTGCTGGAAATGAGAAAAAAAATTGTCTTGCAATTACGTTTCTCCGGTTTTTCATCCAACAAATGTCGGCTTGAAAAAAGCTAAATCGTCGTTTTCCTAAAAAAATAATAGTCTTACCCTTCACACAAGTAGCGCCCCATCCTGCCACACGTGCACTCTCCCCCTTCTCGGGTACTTTATTCCCACTCTGCCTTCTCACAGGGGCCACCTGTTTTGTAGTTTTGTTGTAGATTGGTTCGGGTACAATCACTACTGCCACGTCCTGATTGGACATCTTGTACAGCTGGGAGTTTGTGATGGTCTGAGCGCGGGCAGGATTAAAACGATGTCTGGTATTACAGCAGGGCGAAGCTTAGTTTGATTACAATTTGGTGCTTATTGTTATAGGCTTTCAAACATATTCTATTGAAATGCCAAAAAATAAAATTACTTTCATTAGTTCGGTAGACTTAACCCTAACATAGACCAGATGATTTTGCGAAACAACATGATTTCCTGATTTCGACAAAACTTTGACTAGGAAAGCCGGTCGCAGAGCATGAAGCAAATAAAAGTCAAGCCTCATTCGGTAACGCAAAACAAAACTTTTTAATTTTTTTTTTGATTTTTCAATTATTTTTTTTGCTATGTGTACGTGTTGTAATTTGTAATTTACTAAATTGTCTTCATTTATTTAAATAAAATGTTCTTTCTGCGAATAGTTTGAGCTAACAGTTTTTGCTCATTGAGATGTCACCCAACAGGCGGGTGCCTTTTTGGGATTCTCTTGAGACGAACTAAGCAGTAAACGTTAAAGAGCAAACGTAAAATTTCATACAAGGCTTGGCTTGAAAATACAGTCGATAATTATTATTATTGTGTGCAAGCTCCTCCCTTATTTGTTCGTCTAGTTTGGCCTCCCCGTAGTAAATCTCCAGCTTCTGTCTCTGGAAGTCCACACAATGTCTGGCAGTGAGGATGGCATGTGGCGTCAGAATAGCCCCGCTGCAGATCTCATTGTCCTCATTTTGATACGACGCCTGAACAAATTCTTTTCCTTCCGAGTTCAGCAATTATTTTTTTATTTCCAAGTTGGATATATTCTTTCTTAATTTAGCACACATTCTGTGTTTTTTTTTACTAATTTTTCGGGGGAGTTCTATTTGGGGAGACCTTTTTTGATTTAGTTTTTGATTAGGTTCTGACCTGAAATCGGACCATCCACGGGTTTTGTTCTATCGTAGTTGGCACTCCATTGATGATCCTCTCCTTCGCGTAGTTGCGTCCATTCTGCAGGGCTCCGTTGAGTAAACTGCACTGGCCATCGAACGAGGCATCGATGCAATTTTCATCTACACAAAGTTTAACAATGATTTTCGATGAAAGTCATTCAAGAATCATAGAAAAAAAACAGCGCTCAACATCAGAGCCCTGTGGAAACTGTCTTTTATTTGATGCAAGTTTGTCCTATTTCCAGTAAAATTTTCATTTTTTGATTAGTTCAATAAGATCATTAACATATCCATTCGCAGACTTTAATTGTTTGGGTTACCTATAAAAGTTTTACTACTGCAAACTTAACTTCAAAATACCTTTACAGTATTCAGCTACACTACATGATTCGGCTGTTTCTGTTTTGTTTTCTTGTGGCATGCAAACAAAATTAACATGTGATGTGCATTTGATTTGATCAAATTTCGAGAAGTCGGATTTCGTTGAAACAAAACATGGATCTGAAGCCATAAACAGCGGATTACGTAACTTCACCGAAGTTTGGTTGTCATTGCAATGTTTTTTATTATCTACGAAACAATGCCTAGAACCGTTACCATAAGCAACAGTTGTAAGAAAAGGATATTGCCATATACGGTCGGTTGTAAGTCGTGAAATAACGGATTCTTCATTCTTCGACACTGTGACGATAAAAGATGAACACGCCATGCATGTTGCAGCCGCTTTTTGAAACTCGGTTTTGCACGTCGGACAAAACGTGTAGTTTTGTTTTGTTTCCTCAGAAGTTAGTAGTTTGTATACGTTGTCGGAAGTTACTGATGATGCATAAAAAGTAAGGATTTGAATCGTGAATAAGTTAAGCATGCTTTGTAATTTTTTTTTGAAGAATGATCTCTTTAATCAAAATCAGAAGTCATATCGATAGAACATTTAAGTTGATTAGGTTGCTCTGATTTTGAAAATTTTAAAGCGCTTCGTGAAAGAGTTTTAAAATATATTTTTTAAAAATCGCAACAGTAAAAATAATGACGGTAAATTAACTGCAGTTAGGCAATAATTTCGATACTAAGATCTGTTTACTTCTCTGAAAAAACTCAAGATTGCAAAGCAGCACAAAGTCGATGTTTTGACGATCACCTTTTTGAAGAAAAAAGAATAGTTATAGAAAAATTGATGCAATAAAGTTTCATATTTCTGGTTTTGAGCTGAAATAGGTAAAATGCACGGTGACTGCATTTGTTAGCGCCAGGTGGTAGTTTACTTCATTTAATCACAGTTTCAAATTCCAAAAACTCTTTTTTTTCCAGAACCAGAAGATGACGTCATATGTGGCGTGGACATGGTCTTAGACGTGTGTGGCTGTTGTCCAGTCTGTCCTCTCTCGGATGGGGACTCGTGTTTGAGAGACAGCCACGAAACACTAACCAGACCATGTGGATTCGGAACAGATTGTATTATGTCGGCCGATGGATCTGCCGATGATTTGAACGGAGTCTGTACCTGTCCTATTACGTCACAGAAGGTACGGTCAAGGAAAGCTCATTTTCAGCCAAAATTTCCGTATTGGTTTAGAACCTGCTGGAAGCGTGACAAAAAACTATCAAGACATTATGAATCGATAGAGAAGTTGATATTAAAATGAATTCGGCGATGAAGAGATTGAAACGCCCCCCCCCCCCACCCAATATGTTACTTTGTTTTTACAAAGTTTGGCTAGATTACAGCTTACTGACTTCTTTCAGGTGTGTGGCAGTGACGGTGTGTTGTATGAGACAGTGTGTCAGTTCCACGAGGCACAAGCCAGAGCCAAGAAGAGCCACGACGAGCCAGTGTACATGGTCAGAGGAGACAGTCCCTGTCTGACCAGACCCAAAATCATCAAAATCACACCCACTCCTCACCTGGTCAAGGTGGGTCAGGGAGACGATACAGAATTGCAGTGTGATAAATTTAATTATCACGTTTAATTAAGATTTTTTTTTATTGTTGATATCACTTTAATAGTTGGAAGACTAAACTTTGATCGGCTCTGCCTTGCAATCAAGAATAATGATTTTCAAGATGTGATCCGTTTTGCTTGCTTTAAAGTCGGTCGGCATTTCCCAGCCCATCAAAAAAATTTGCATGCAGATCCATAACTGAAGTCTAAAGAGTGCTTCTGAAAACCTCAAAATAACAAACATGAGACAACATGTTTCAAGAGTAAAAGTTATCCAATGTTCACAATTGTCGAGTGTTTTGCAGGTGGGTGAGAACGTGAGTATATCGTGTGAGGGGGTAGGCTACCCTACTCCTGGGATAGTGTGGACTAGGGAGGTGGGCGAGGGGGGATTCAGAGATGACCTGCCGGGGGATGAGGAGAATGTGTCCATTCAGACCAGAGGGGGACCCACTTCACACTCAACCACTGCATGGCTCTCTTTCTCGTGAGTAATAGCTCTTCAAAAAAGAATAAATATGCTGAAACTTTAAATAGGATTAAAATTAATTGTACCAAAAAACGTTTAATAAAGCAAAATATATGGATTAAATTATACAAAGCTTAATAACGGATAAAATCAAAAATAATAAATAACTAATACAGTTATTACTCAATAGTCAAACTAAATTAAGACCCCAGAACAAGAAAAAAAACAGACTTCATGTTTTTTTTTCTAACAGCTGATCAAATGTGGGCAACTTTTTTGTCCGAATGTTGCCATGAGAACATTAATGTGCTGAAACGTTTCAGCTCTAGTGAATTTTTTTATAATATATGTGATAGTCACTTTTTATCCTTCACGCTAGCGCAACTATATAAAGCATTTTTCTCTTTAGATAGATTGGTCTCTTAACATTGAGTTCGGTTTTCAGGCCTCTGAAGAAAGAAGACGTGGCTTCCTACAGCTGCCATGCAATCAACAACAAAGGAGCCGACACAAAGAATGTCGAACTCACCACCAGTCTCGACAAGCAAAGAGGAGAACTCTAAGAATGAGTTTCAAAAAACTTTTTTTTTGCAACAGAAGTTTTTTGCAACAAAAACCATATATCGAACTCACTAAACTATAAAACTTTGAGTTTAACCTCTAACGACTTACCAGTGCACTCTCTAATAACTAAGCACAGCTAACAGACTGTTTAAAAACCTTCAAGGAAAACAAGGAGTCCATAAAAAACGGCTGACATCAAAAAATCAAAATTCGATATCAAAAACAAATACATAACCTTGAAGCTTTTTGTTTCCTGAAATTTTTTATCCTTGATTCTTTTTAAACAAGAATAACCACATGTTGAGGAAACAGGAACAAAAAAATGATTTTGTGGAAAGTTAGTAACCCTCAAGCTTATTTCAAGCTTAATTTCAAGCCTAAATTCATTCACTTTTTTGCACCATTTGAACTTTTGATATTCAAAAACGTAGTTTTCCTTCTTTTGATCGACTGAATTTGATTTGAAGTTTTAAAAAAAGTGAAAGTCCGACCCTGTTAATTAATTCAAAAATACGGCAAACAACAAAATTTTCCCTCCAAACTATGCAAAATAGGACGATCGAGCCGATAAAACATACGCTGAAAAAGCTTTATTAGAGCCGAAAAAAAAACAAGCATGAAAAATCAATTCTAAATTTCAAAATGCAATTTTGTAATTTTACAAATAAAACAACGACTGTCAATTATTGTGAAAATTTAAATCAGAAAAAATTTTGTCTTTTAAAACGCAGCCGAAAAAAATAAGCAGGAAAACGAAACTTTCATTTCATACATACTGATCAAAACAAGGTCAGGGAGGTAATCGAGTTTCAAACTTTTGGTTGCAACGACTGCCGCACTAACTCTAGACAAAGTGAAAAAAAAAATCGTCGAATTTATTCAGATTCAATTTTAGAGCTAGTAGAATTTGTTTTAGATTTGCAGGAAAAGTTAGTTAAGTTAAAAAAATTTAGAAACCAATTACATTTGCTCTCGCAAATGATTTCTGACACAAAAATTCAACGCAGAGGCGAGGGATACACAAAGCAACGAAAATCATTTTGATGAAAACGTGTGACAAAACCAACAGCCAGTAGTAAACTAGCTTGAACAAAAACAAGCATAACAAAAAATCACCTGTAACTTTCAAAATGCAAGCTGGTAAATGAACAAATAAAAGAACGACCGTCACTTATCGTGTAAGTTTAAATCAGACAAACAGCTTGAAACTTGACGTTGAATTTCATTCTTTGAAACGCCTCCGAAAAAAATAAGCTGAGAAATTAAATGCCAAATCAATTTTTTATTTCGAGGAAATGTTATTTCTTATATAGTGAACATAACAAGGTCCGGGCGGGTATCGAAGTTCAGACCATTGATTTGGTTGCAACAGCTCGCTCACTTCACTAACAAAGTGAAAAACAAATCCTCAATTTTGTTAAGGTTCAATTTAAAGCCCGTAGAAATTCTTAAGTTGCAGGAAACCAAATACAGTCATTTGCTCGCGAAAAAGATTTCCGACACGTAAATAGTCCAACTCAAATTAGGAAATTTAAGAAAGAGGCGAAGCTGAGCTTCCCACCACCTAGGATACACAAAGCAACCAAAATCTTTTTGATGAAAACCTGTGGCAAAACAAAACAGCCAGAAATAAACTAAATTAAAAAAGTTCGAATTGAGCTACACATTTTGCAACAAAATTTTCAGTGGAAAAAAGA